CTGGTAATACTTTGTTCTACATCTAAAATTCATACGTGAGGGAGTGCATGTATTTGTGACTGGGTTACCTCACTCAGGATGGTTTCTTCTAGTTCATTCCATTTCACTGGGAATTTCAAGATTCCATTGCTTTTTTTCTGCTGAGTAGTACTCCATTGTGTAAATGTACCACATTTTCTCTATCCATTCTTCAATTGAGGGGCATCTAGGTTGCTTCCAGGTTCTGGCTATTACAAACAATGCTGCTGTGAACATAGTTGAACATACGTCCTTGTTGTATGAATGTGCATTCTTTGGGTATATGCCCAAGAGGGGGATTGGTGGATCTTTAGGTACACTGATTCCCAATTTCCTGAGAAAACACCATAGAGATTTCCAAAGTTGCCTTACAAGTTTGCACTCACACCAGCAATGAAGGAGTGTTCCTTTTTTCCACATCCTCTCCAGCATAGACTGTCATTTGTGTTGTTGATTTTAGCCATTCTGGCTCGTATAAGATGGTATCTCAGAATAGCTTTGAGTTGCATATCACTGATGGCTAAGGATTTTGAGCACTTTCATAAATGTCTTTCAGCCATTTTAGATTCCTCTGTTGAGAATTCTCTATTAGTTCTGCACCCCACTTTTTAATTTCATTGTTTGGTGTTTTGGTGGCTAGCATCTTGAGTTCATTGTATATTCTGGATATCAACCCTCTGTCAGATGTGGAGTTGGTAAAGATCTTTCCCCATTCTGTGGGCAGCAGTTTTGTCTTACTTACTGTGTCCTTTGCCTTACAGAAGCTTCTCAGTTTTAGGAGGTCCCATTTGTTAATTGTCGATCTCAATGTCTGTGCTACTGGTGTTATGTTCAGGAAGTGGTGTCATGTACCAATTCGTACAATGGTATCTCCTACATTCTCTTCTAAGTGGCTCAGTGTGGCTGGATTTACGTTGAGGTCTTTGATCCATTTGGACTTAAGTTTTGTGCATGGCGATAGATATGGATCTATCTGCAATCTTCTACATGTCTGAATGCAGTTATAACAGCACCATTTGTTAAAGATGCCTTTTCCCATTGTATAAATTTAGCTTCTTTATCAAAAATCAGGTGTTCATAGATGTGTGGATTAATATCAAGGTTTTCAATTCAATTCCATTGGTCTATCTGTCTACTTTTGTGCCAATACCAAGCTGTTTTCAGAACTATGGCTCTATAATAGAGCTTAAAGTCAGGGATGGTGATGCCTCCAGAAGTTCTTTTATTGTACAGGGTTGTTTTGGCTATCCGGGGTTTTTTGTTTTTCCATATAAAGTTGAGTTTGTTCTTTCTAGGTCTGTGAAGAACTGTGTTGGGATTTTGATTTGTGTCACGTTGGATCTGCAGATTGCTTTTGGCAAGAATGTCATTTTTACGATGTTGATTCTACCTATCGAAAAGCATGGGAGAGCTATCTATTTTCTGGTATTTTCTTTAATTTCTTTCTTTAAAGACTCAAAGTTCTTTCTGTACAGGTCTTCCACATTTTATTTAGTGTTGACCCAAGATATTTTATGTTATTTTGTGGCTATTGTGAAGGGTGATGTTTCGATGATTTCTTTCTCACTGCGTTTATCGTATTAGGATTGCTATACCAGCTTGTTTCTTGGGCCCATTTGATTGGAAAATCTTTTCCCAACCCTTTCCTGTGAGGTAATGTCTGTCTTTGATGTTGAGTTGTGTTTCTTCTATACAGCAGGATGGATTCTGTCTTCGTATCCGTTCTGTTAGCCTGTATTTTTTATGGGCAAGTTAAAACCATTGACATTGACAATCAATTAATGTCCGTTGATTGTTGGGTTTTGTTTGCTTTGGATTTATCGTTGGTGGTGTTATTATGTGTGTAATTCCTCCTCTTGTTTCTTTTGGTGTTTGGTAAAGTGGCATTATCTATTGCCTATGTTTTTGTGAGGGTAGTTATCATCATTGGGTTGGAGTTTTCCTTCCAGTACTTTCTGTAGGGCTGGATTTGTGGATATGTATTGTTTAAATCTGGTTTTGTCATGGAATATCTTGTTTTCTCCATCTATAGTGATTGAAAGCTTTTCTGGGTATAGTAGTCTGGGTTGGCATCCATGGTCCCTTAGTGTTTGTAGGACATCTATCCAGGATCATCTGGATTTCAAAGTTTCCATTGAGAAATCAGATGTAATTCTGATAGGTCTGCTTTTATATGTTACTTAGCTTTGCTGCTCTTAATATTTTTTTTTATTCTGTAAGTTTGGTGTTTTGATTATTATGTGTCAAGGGGACTTCTTTTTGTGGTCCTGTCTATTTGGTGTTCTGTAAGCTTCTTGTACTTTCATAGGTATATCCTTCTTTAGGTTGGGGGAGTTTGCTTCTATGATTTTGTTGAATATGTTTTCTGTACATTTGAGCTGTATTTCTTCACCTCTTTCTATACCTATTATTCTTAGGATTGGCCTTTTCACAGTGTCCCATATTTCCTGGATATTTTGTGTTAGGGATTTATTGGGCTTGAGATTTTCTTTGGTGGATGACTGTATATCCTCTAGTGAATCTTCAACGCTTGAGATTCTCTCCTCTATCTCCTGTATGGTATTGATATTACTTATGTCTTCAGTTCCTGGTCATTTATCCAGCCTTTCTATTTCTAGCATCCCTTCATTCTGTGTTTTCTTTATTGTTTCTATTTCAGTTTTCATGCGTCTAACTGTTGCAATTGTTTCCTTCACTTATTTGGTTGTTTTTTCTTTGCTTTCTTTAGATTCTTTAAGAGAATTATTATTTCTTGAATTTTTGTTTGCTTTTTCTTCTATTTCTTTAAGAGATTTTCTTGTTTCCTCTTTAAGTGTCTCTATCATCTTCATAAGGTCCATCTCTTCTTCTTCCTCTGTGCTATGGTTTTCAGGTCTTGCTGGTGTGGAGTCCCTTGATTCTGTTAGTGTCATGTTTGTCTTTCTGTTGTTGAGTATGTTCTTATTCTGTCTTCTTCCCATCTCTTCTTTCAGTGGGTGCTGTTGGGGTCACTATATCTCTTCTTGTTACCAGGTGGAGTACATGGGCCAAGACTTCAGTGTCTTTAGCTCTGGATGGTCTGGCCTCTCCTGGTATTCTTTTCACTCAAGCAGAGGGTTGAGGGCAGAGGGGGAACCAAGAGTGATGTGTTTCCAGACTCAGGGAGGTCTTCCCTGTCTGGGCGGTTCCACTCTATGCCAGGAGCAGGCCCAGAAAGATCCAAGGAAGGGGTGATGGCAAGAGTTGGGTGGGAGCAGAGGGGACACTCACCTTAGCAGAAGTCAGGGCAGAACAAGAAAATTAGTTTTTGTTTTGTTTTGTTTGTGCAACTTCACATCTGATAGGATGCTTATTTCCAGAATATTCAATTGAGTTTTTGACCATTGTGATCCCATGGAAATCCTCAACTCAGGCTGTTTCTAAGACAAAGACATGGTAGCACTCTGAAAATTGACAGTCAGCCCACATTCCTGAGGATGATACCCACACAACTCATTGAACATGAAGAAGTCAAACTGCTGCATATAAGAAACTTTCATCCCTATGTTAGAGACTCTTAGGTGAGGGAAGAAACTCTGGCTAACAAAGGGAAGGCTAACAAAAGGGAAATGTGGACAGCAGCCTCAAAGCCTCTTACTTACATTCTGCCCTGCCTGCAAAATATGCCAGGAAAATTGGGACACAGAAAATGTCAGAGTAGCCAACCAATGTCTGATTTGACTTAAGCCCCACGCCACAAGAAGGAACCCACACTGGACCTAGGTAGATAACCAAGTACCAGAGACTAGATAGCCCAGAGTCTTAGGGTAAATATGAACAATGCTGATCTAAAAATCAATAAGATTTTAATAGCCTTCTATACTCATAGATCAGTGCCTCACATAGTCATCATCAGAGGGGCTTCTTCTGACAGCAGATGTGTCAGGACCCATGAAAAGGAGTCCATTATATCTTGTCTCAAGTCCATAGAGCTCTAATCTGTCTTAGTATCTATAAGACATTAATTTGGTGGCTACATGAAGTTTTGGCCTTGATGGTGGATGTCACTTATCTAAATAACAATAGACTTGGGCCCAGGTGCCTTTCTCTCAACCATGAGGGCCAGATGACAGTTATGGTTACCAAATACCTAAAGGAGTAAGGGATTAAGTCTCTTTGCTCCTTATACACAAGAATAGAAGTCTTCCGTCATTTTGTACTCACTGATAGTTGAATATATAAGATAGTGAAAGAATAAACTAAGGGCGTGCAGTATGGATTGAATGCCCACCAAATAGCTATCCTGTGTCTGTCTTGGATTCTTAACCCCTTTAGCTAGCCTTTCTCCCATCCACATTCCCTCTCTCAGGCACAAACCTTGGGCTACTCGGCTGACTCTGACTACAGACCCACAAAGACAGCTTCTGACACAGATGAGAACATATGTAGAGTCCAACAGCAAGATGTTATGTGGAGAGACTACAAATGGAGTTCTCCATCAAATCTCTCCCATCAGAGCTCTGGAAATCCAATGGAAGTGGAGGCTAAAGATTGTAAGAGACACAGGGGATGGAGGACACCAGCTGAACAAAGCCCTTTGGATCAACAAAAAAGGCACATATGAGCACATAGAGACTGAAACAGCAAGTATAGGGTTCTTCTGTGAGAAAGCAATAAGAGCTTTACAACTAGTAGCATGCATCTCTGATCTTCAAGTTTATTTCTGTCCTAACCATAGAAGATAGGGTTCCATTCCTTCTCCTTTGCAAGGTGGGGGAATTTCTGGTAGCCCCTTCTCCCAGATGTGCTCAGGAAAGCCTCCCTGTTAGGCCTATGTATGTTGTGTTGCACAGTAAACAATGCTTATGCCAACACTTAAAATCCTGCTGTCTCAAACCATTGCAGCCAAGGTGAAGACTTTCATGAGCGCATCTGAGAAGGTTCTCTTGCCACTGTGGAGATGGAAATGAATGCCTCACACTGGTAATGAGTCAAATGGAGAAGCTTTGTGGCCATGGTACCTACCTCAACTGTGCAAGTATCCTGGAAGGCCTGGTCCTTCTTATTCCTCTTTGAATGAGGAGCAGGGTGTTTGTTTTCTTCGTTGTCATCTTGTGGCCTCTTCCTGAAAATAGTTTTCAAAGGGAGAAGAAAATCTGCTGTCATTCAGCCAGACTTTTGGTTGCTTAACTTTCAGCCCTGTGCCCATACCCAAATCTGTAACCTTGTCTAGGAATGTACCAGTCAGAGCTGCTCTACTGGATTCTCACACTCTGCAGGCAGATGGCACTCGGGAGTGGGAACAGATGTCCAACAGAAATTCCATGCATACCCAAGCCCAAGTTCAAGTTCCCAAGCCAGATTCTTCATTTGAATCGCTGTTTGGTACCAAAAACCCCAAGAAATTTATGGACAAACATGAAAACTCTACCTGGCCAGGCCCAGTTATATAATCAGTCCAGGTTATAATATTTTAGGCCCTGTCACAAGGCATCTCTCAAGATTTATAGGGCTTCTCTTCTGTATCTCCTCTTGGGTCCCTTTAGATGGTGGCTATTAGCAGACACCACTTGTGTACTGTTAGATCATTCCTGTTGCTATAACAATTATTCTGTCATTGTAGCTAGTTTGCTTGAATGCCACCATGACACTCTGGCTGATTGCTTCCCCGACACTGAGTCTATAATGTATGTTGAGGTTTCTTTCCCCTATATCTTCCTCCAATGCTGTCTTTCCACAAATAGTTTGTGATACTTGATGGCAGTATTCTTGAATATTCTTTATATGTTATTAGAGGGATATTTTTATATTAGCTTTTAGTTAAAGATAATTGCTAGTTGTTTTTGTAGTCATGTGTTTGTCTGAGTTCACTTATTCTCCCATAGTCTTTAATCTTGCTTTAATGTCAGAGAGAACACTTCATGGTCAGATATGTCACATAGTTTACAGACATTTCAATTAAATCATCTTTAAACATTAAGCTGAACATAAAAAGCAAAATTTTTGCCTAGACAAAAAAGGGTTTATACACATTATTCTCTGACCCTATTGCTGGTTGTAGTTGGAAGTTTTTCCTGACTAATATCTTTATAATGAAGTAAATTAAAGTGGAAAATTATCCTAATCAGTAACAATATATAACCTTGTTACAGGTGTTTTTAATGTAAAAATTTCTTTAACAGAGAAACATTTCATATAGTGAAAAATGAAATATCGCATGTCTAAATCAAAATATGTCATAATGTACAGATGCTATATGAATAAAATTATTTGGAGAATTTGTATATGATGTCATTATTTTTATTAATAACAAATTTAGTCATGTGTGTCTTTCCATGGGTATTTGTGCAAAACAGACCCATTTTATTCAGTTTTGGTTGATTGTGGAAAATTCAGGTCTTTAGCCATCTGATAAATTGTTGGAGCACAAGTTTACAGTGAAGTGATCATGTCCACAATCAAAAGAATATGTTCATAAATTAATGTATTGTTCAATATGTTTTAAAATTTTTAAAACTGTGCTGATATAATTATTTCTCTGTGTGTGTCTCTGCGCAGATACATGTTATAACCTATGTGTAGTGCTTGGGTGGCAACTGGTTGTACCTGGTTCTTTCCTATTTCCACATGGAATGTGATTGAAAGCAGATCATCAGGCTTGGTGTCAGGACCTTTAGTCATTTTTATCTTTGTTGTTTCATGCTTGCATATAAGTTGCTCCTGTCACACCTACCATAAAATTTCTTTTCTGTTCCTCATTCCACCTCCCCTCCCATCTTCATGTGTCTTTTTAAATCCTCATGAGAACATGAATTTGTGCCTGTATGTACTTGGGTTTAAGAATGTCTACTGGTGAATGGGTTGCCTTTTGACCTGGGTCAAATGGCTGCAGAGCTTTCTGAGGTGTATACCCAGGGCTGTGATGCCAAAATTCAAAACCAAACAAAAACCTCTTAAAGCTATTTGAAATCACCCTGGTAGGTAAAGCTCCTTCTGGAGATAGACTGGCATGCATATGTCTTTGCACTGCATTGTGCTCAAGGCATCTGGGCACTGTTCCAAGCCACCAGGACACAACCAGTGCATTTCTGTAGGTTTCCAAACTGGAGCCACATAATGACGACAGACACAAGCAGACAGACAGCCCGTGACAAACTCCATTCCTCAGAGTCTGAGTCTCACACAGGCAACATTCAAAGAGATTTACAGTAGAGTCAAGAAAAACTACAGCTAGCACTAAGAGTTCCAGAATTTAACAGTACTTAACATTATTTAACGATGATAAATGTGGCTTAATATCCCAGAACTGGAGTGAGAAGCGAGTCCATCTGATCTGTCACATAAGTACAAGCAGTACTTGACATTTTAAAACATAACTTACAGACTGGAGAGATGGCTCAGAGGTTAAGAGCACTGACTGTTCTTCCAGAGGTCCTGAGTTCAATTCCCAAAAGCACATGGTGGCTCACAACCATCTGTAATGAGACCTGGTGCCCTCTTCTGGCCAGCAGGCATATATGCAGGCAGAAGACTATATACATAATAAATAAATATTTAAAAAAACAGATCTACTTTTGACCTGAGTAGAGTTCCTGGGACCCATGTGTTGGGAGAACTGAACAGACTCCCCATGGTGTATTCTAATATTCACATGTGTGTCATGACATGCACATGTATGAACACACACACACACACACACACACACACACTTACACACATACTTTTGAAATGTAAGAATATAATCTGAAAATATAGAAATAATATTCTGGAACAAATGTGGATTAACAGGTGACACAATCTTCAGGAGACCAGGTACCCAGGTTCCTTGGTACCTAGAACATGAGGAACCCAGTTTGGACAGTGTTGCTTACTCTGCCCAGTGCCTTTCCTCAGCCAAGCACTGTGTCAACAAAGGACAACATGATCCCACAGGCTGACAGAGACCCCAAGAATCACTTGCTGGTGAACCTTTTCTTCCTATACACATGCATATTCCTATAAAATGTGATGTTCCTACTTGAACCTCCTCAAATGACTTGACTGAAAGAAACAGTGCACCCCATGTCCCTCACATGCAAGAGAGCTAGACAGGACATGAGATGTTGAGTTCCTTTGCTCTGAAACTGTCATTATGTGTTCTCAAAACTGTTTGAATGTCATCTGTACATTGTGTGGACATGTGGGGACAAGCCTGCCTCTTAGATGAATGTGTTCCTAACTCTTCCTAGAGGATACCCCATAGTAGTTGTTAAGAAAATATGCCAATCAGGCAAGCAGCAGTCCTATTTGGACAGTGAGTATATGAACCCAGAAAGCCAGTATTATAACTGGAAGTGTGTGGGTTTGGGGAACACAGTCTTTCTGGAAGGCTGTCCATCATGTCAGCAGGGTAGGCATATTGAAGGACTCAAAGCAGTGTTAATTTCTTTGTCTTTTCTCCTGGTGTCCATGGCTTTGGTCCCTAAATGACCACATTGCCCTGAAGCCCTATAGATGGCACATTGACTGCCAGAAGGATAGGCTTTTCCCTATCACAATTTCATCTGTGCTATATACACAAACATCACAAAACAAGGGAATCCATTGTGGTCTGAAGTTTTTGAGCAATTTCAGCTGACACCCCCAGCATTAACGCTGATAGAGGCCAAACCTCAGACCAGGCTCAGTAAGCCAGCAGTGGACAGAAATGTTGAAGGCCACCATCAAAAAAGCAGGCAAAGGTGTAACCCCATGAGTATGCTCTTTTCAAGGACATCACCAACACCTCTCCACCCACACCTGCACAGTACTCTGTTCTCCATGGGTCTTGTGTTGCACATGCACCTCAGGCCAGGGCTCATCAGGAGACCTCACTATGACTGGGGGTGATTGCATGTAAGTTTAGTGTTTGTAAGTGTCTCAGTTGGGGTTTTCTTGATGTGAAGAGACACCATGCCCATGGCAATCCTTACAAAGTACAATTTTTAACTCGGGCTGGCTTACACTTACTTCAGAGGTTTATTCCATTATCATCATGGTGGGAAGCATGGCAGAATGCAGGCATATGTGGTGCTGGAAAGGTAGCAGAGACCTCTCCATCTGGATCTGACTGCAACAGCAAGAGACAGTGAGTGAGCCATCAGGCCTGGCTTGAGCTTCTGAGATCTCAAAGCACACTACCCATTGACACATTTCCTCCAACAAGCCCACACCTACTCCAACAAGGCCACAACTGCAACAATACCACTCCCTGTGAGTCTATGGGGGTTATTTTCATTCAGACCACCAGAGTAGTTACATATCCCATTGATTAGACTTACTCATGAGTGTTTTCATTCAAGGACCAGGTAGTCATTATGAATGATACTGAACTGGGCTTGGTAGGTGTCCCCTTTAATCCCAGAATGCAATACCTGGAGGCAAAGAATTCTCTGTGAATTTTCTCCCACTCTGGTCACTTATTAAGTCCTAGGATAGCAACAATTATGTAGAGTAACTTAAATCAACAACACAAAACTTAATGGCGACTGAAGGCAGAATACCAGGGTTCTCCTATTTCATTCCACCAACTTTCATGCCCATTAAGCATGTTCCAAGTTGTTTTTCCTCAGAGTTTGCTATTCACATTTGGTCACATGTACCCTGTGATGGCATCAAAATGCACTGTGTTTCTGTAGGCTTGACCACAACAGACACATAAAAATGGTGGGATTTGGTCCATGGTGCTGGGCAGGCATGATGGAATTTCACACCTCAGGGTCATTCATCATGTTCCTGATCCTTTCTAGAGAGGAACCCACACAGTATCTGTCCTTCCTAGTCTTTGGTTCACCAGAGATAGTGAGTTTCAGCGATGGTGGCCCACTTCTTTGATTCACTTTATTTCTTGATTTTGCGGACTAGCCTTGAATGGTCATTGCAAAAATCAAGGTCTATGGTGGGATTCTACTTGGAATCTGTTGTTCATGCTTTTGATGTCAAGGGCACAGTGTGAGAGATTTTACTTGGAATGGAGACTTGCAAAGTTCAGTCACATAAACCTCACTGTGACAGACTATTTTGTCATTGTGAAAATGATTTGACCATTTCCAGGTTCCACAGACAATGAGGTCATTGTGTGTGTGTGTGTGTGTGTGTGTGTGTGTGTGTGTGTGTGTGTGTGTTTTCTTTTAGTTTTAGTTTTTACATTCTAATCCCACTTCCTATTCTCTCCCCTCTTCCTTCTCCCCCAACTTTCCCCTCATTCTCCCTTGCGTTCTCAGAGAGAGAAAGGCCTCCCATGGGGAGTGAACATACTCGATACTATCACCACCTTGAGGAATCTCCAAGGCCCTCCCCCCTGCTAGGCTGAGCCCATAGGAAATGGGCTCCAAAAAGCCAGTTCATGCACCTTTGATAGATCCTGCTCCCACTATCAGTGGCCCCACATACTTCTCACCCCATCCACTGTCACCTACATTTAGTGGGCCTATGGGGTCTTATGCAGAAACCCCAACTGTCAGTCCAGAGTCATTGAGTTCCCACTAGCCTTAGTCAGGTGTCTCTGTTGGTTTCCCCATCCTGATCTTAACCACTTTGCTTTTATTATCAATCCCCCTCTCATCTACTGGACTCCATGATTTCAGACCAGTGGTTAGTTGTGGATCTCTGCATCTGCTTCTATCAGTTACCAGATGAAGATTCTATCATGACAATTATGGTAGTCCTCAATATTATTACAGGGGAAGGCCAGTTCAAGCATCCTCTCCACTATTACTTAGAGTTTTATCTGGGATCCTTGTTTATTCCTGGGAATTGCCCTAGTGCCAGTTTTCCCACTAATCCCATAATAGCTCTTCTATCAGCATAATTAATTCCTTGCCCCCGCTCTGCTGTTTCAACATTTCAACCATCCTGTTGCTCATGTTCACCTCCCCATTGCCCTTCCTTCTTCCCCTCTCTCTACCACCTCCCTCCCTCCCAAGCTCTTGATTTACTCAGGTGAGCTTGTCTATTTCACATTTCCCCCTTAATAGACAGATCCTTGTATGCCTCTCTTAGGCTTTTCTTTGTTACCTTGTTACACAGACAGTGAGGTCTATGTACATACATGCATACATACATACATACATACATACATACATACATACATACTACATACAAACATACATATTCATGCTCACTTAACTTAGTGCTACATCCTCTGAGGGAATAAATGGTGTGAGGAGTTTCACAATTTCCCTTACAGAGAGAGAGAGAGAGAGAGAGAGAGAGAGAGAGAGAGAGAGAGAGAGGTGCTTGAGAATACCTTTGTGTGACCATCAGACCATGGAATCTAACCAATGTTCCATTTCAGGACTTGTGTGAAAGTACCTTGCACATGCACCACACCAGGACCACCGGCACAAAAAGAATAGCATCAGGGACTTGAGGACCAGGCCTACACAGGTGTTCACAGACGCTTCTCCTAGCACAAGGAGGAAGTATCTACCAATTTCTACACTCTCACTGAAAATCCAAGTGTGATGGACCTAGTGTCCAGGAGCTGTCCTTGTACACTGCATCTTTGCTTGTCATAAACAGGCTCAGAGCACCTTCAGGAAATTCCTAAAGTTGAGAAGGTCCTGATATAGTGAGCAGGTCACCTGCACTCTTGCTTCAGGCCTAGATCCTGTAGAATAAGTCTGGTCATGTGGCAGTGCCCCAGCTCTCTCTCTCTCTCTCTCTCTCTCTCTCTCTCTCTCTCTCTCTCTCTCTCTCTCTCTCTTTCTCTTTCCCTGGAACCTACACAACCTCCAGGACACCATCCTGTCAGAAAAATCTCTTTTTCTCTCAGGTAAAAGGAAGAACAAGATAAAATAAGGACATGAAACTGAAAGATACATAGGAGAGGATGGACTGATGCCTGAGTGGTTAAGATGGGGCAGGAAGATTGTAAACTCCAGAGGACCAGGACAGCTGCAATGAAAACATGTCTTCTATATGTGATGGGGAAGCTGCACCCATAAAATCTAAACACTATGATCACATAAATAAGACACCCACAATGACAACTTCAGTTGATATTAAAAATGTGGGTAGTGAATATCTCACCAGACTCTGCACCTAAAAAAAGAGAGAAAAGAAATCACATGCATGAAAACACATGGAAGTGTGTACACCAAAAACAAACCAAATACAAAACAAAAACAACATTGAACCAGTTAATAATCTTTCATTCCTGTAAGGATGCATTTTATTGTCTCCATTTGATGAAACAGAGAAGAAACGTGATTGTGGTGGTAACTGAGTGAATTTACACATATAATACAGTAAAAGAGAGTTGTACACACTGATTGTGCCAGTGTTAGTGTCCTGCTCTTGAAGTGTTATACAGTTGTGTAAAGAGTACAGCAAACTATCATGGGGACAAATTATAAGAAGAATGCTCAATATATTCTCATTCTTATGTATATATAATAGTTCAGTGAAGCATAACTATAATGAAACTTAATCAATAAAAAAACAGAAGTCAAAAAAATGGGGTAAGAACATGGAACATCAGAGAACCTGAGGAGCAGCCACCAGTGACTTCTTACCTCTCAGTATCCTCTGACCAAAAGGGCTGTGAACCTGTCTTCACCCCACCTTATCACTTCCTTTCTTTACCTCTCTGGCAACAGTGTTAAAGGCTTGAACCACCACCATGTAGCTTCTGTAGCTAGCTCTGCCTTCTGATCTCCAGGAAAGCATGATTTGTCATAACATGAACAAAACATCAGCCAACAGCTTTGAAACAAAAATTTCACACACACACACACACAGAGAGAGAGAGAGAGAGGGGGGGGGGGGGGGGGGGGGGGGGGAAAGGAGGGAGGGAGGGAGCTCTACCAGACCTAGTGTTCCTTCTGCCCTCCAGTCAATAAAATGGAAGAGAGGCCCTTTTAAAAGCAAATAAGGAAGGAAGGAAAAGCTGAAACCCAAGGAGAGGAAAATGGTAGCTCGCCTACGCCAATAGCCGATGGGAGTATAGCAACCCCACTATGTGCTTGCCCTTGCTTAGGAACATCTAACCCAGAATGTCCCAGGAAGGATGCCAAAACTACTAAGGAAAAGAATGCAACATTTCCAGAATAGGTTTGAGTCTCTTCATGTGATGGTGTTATTGTCACAAGACTGGACATATTTACTCCTCAGGACCATGCCCCCCAAAAGATTTCACTCCAGGAATCAGTTGATGATGTTGTCCTTCAGGATCCTGTTTGCTCTGATAGAATTCTAAGGAGGGTGCCAAGGCCAGAGTTATTCTGTCCATTAGTTGAGCAGCCTTTTAAGCATTCTTTTTTGGTTTTGCTTTTTTATGTTAAATATGACATGATTTATTTTCAATTTATAAAAATTATAATTTTATACACAGATTAAAAGCTTCCAATGGTTTTACAAAAGCTTCTTCTTTTTTTCATTTTGTTTTTCCTTTTTTCCATCCTTTTTATTTGAATTAGAAACAAGATTGTTTTACATGTCAATCCCAGTTCCGACTCCCTCCTCTACCACCCCGCCAACTAAAACCCTACCTATCATATATCTTTTCTGCTCCCCAGGGATGGTGAGGCCCTCCATAGTGGGTCATCGGAGTCTATGATATCCTTTGGGATAGGGCCTAGGACCACCCCAGTGTGTCTTGGCTCAGGGAGTATCCCTCTATGTGGATTGGGCTCCCAAAGTCTACACCTATGCTAGGGATAAGTACTGAACTACTACAGAAGGTCCCATAGATTTCTGAGGTCTCCTCATTGAAACCCACATTGCTGGGATCTGGTTCAGTCCCATGCTGGTATCCCAGCTATCAGTCTGGGGACCAAGAGCTTGCCGTTGTTCAGGTCAGCTGATTCTATGGGTTTCACCAGCCTGGTCTAGACCCGTTTGCTCATCGCTCGTTCTTCTTTGCAACTGGATTCCAGTCAGTTCAGTGATTAGCTGTTGGTGTCTGCTTTTACTTCCACCATCTGCTGGATGAAGGCTAAAAGATGTCATACAAGACAGTCATCAATCTCATTACCAGGGGAGGGCATTTAAGGTAGCCTCTCCTCTGTTGCTTAGATTGTTAGTTGGTGTCATCTTTCTTTTGCCATTCTGTTTGCAATGCATGTTGTCATTTTCTATGTTCTGTGTTGTTTCTTGCATAAGATGGGGCTGGGGTGTACACAGGTTGAGTGTGAAGTTACTGAGATCTAGTGTCAGCTTTTCAAAGGAGGGTGAATGAGAGGTTTCTTCTATTCTGGCCCCCGCAGACATTCCTGACGTGTTTCCCGCATACTTCAGGCAGCAGTGGCATTCACATTTGAAAGTCTCCTGATCTGCATCTTCAAAGTCTGTCATATTCTTTGGGCTAGGTCCTAGGCCAACCCCCTTGTATCTAGGCTCAGGGAGTATCCCTCCATGTGGGATGGGCTCCCA